AAATTTTCTTATACTGAATATACAACGAGCTACAGAAATTATCACATATATGATTAACTGAAACAAACAGGATAAACAAGTCTATATATATATATATGTATGTATACTATGATCCTCACTTTATATATATATATATATGTAAGAAGTTAATCCCCTAAAACCTTCACAGTGAAAAACTTTACCTAAGTTATGGTAAATAATAGAGAAGTAATTTTTTCTTTATACTTTATACTGCATTATCTTCTTTATATTTTTTATGTTGTGCTTTTTCAGATATTCTGAAAAAAGCATGTACTATTTTTCTTTTTATAAAAATTTCATTTATTTTTAATTAGAGACAATAAATGAATGTTTTCTTTTTACAAATAAAAAGCTCAAAGAATACAGATAAAGTTCCCTTTGACCACCACTTTAGGATGAAAATTTCCCTAGAGGTAACCACTATCTTCAGTTTAGTGTTTATCTTTTCAGATGTTTTTCTGTGTACTTTCATATATATATCTATGTGCATATAAATGTGCTATGTTTAACAATATGTATCATGTAGAACATATTTTGCCACAACTTTTTAAACTTAATAACACATCTTCATATCTATTTTATTATTTTTAACTACTCTATGGTATTCTAGAGCTTAAATTCCCTACTGTTTGATATATACATTGCAATTTTTCCCTATTATAAGCATTTCTACAATAAATCTCATTGCACAAGGCCTTCTTGGGCACACTTGGAAGTGCTAGAGCATCGGTGTGTATATTTTTCCTTATAGTTGTTTTCTTAAATGACTATACCAATTTACCCTCTCAAGAGCAGTATATGAGAATATAATTACCTCTAAATCAGTGGTTCTCAACCTGGGACAACTGCTCCTCCTCACAATAGTTTATTTGGCAACGTCTGGAAACATTTTTGGTTGTCACAACTGGAGTGGGGAGTAGTGCTACTGGCATCTAATGGGTCAGGAATACTGCTAAATATTCTATATGCATAGAAAAGCAACAAAGAATTAATCTGTCCCCAATATCAATAGTGCTGAGGTTGAGACACCTACTCTAAATCCTGATAGTTAATATTATCAAATGTTCAACATTTTTAAGTTTATATACCCTTGGGTACTAATGAGTTGTGCATCTTTTCATATTTATTTTATTGATCATACGTATTACCTCTTCTGTTAATTGCCTGTTCATATTCTTTATTATTTTTCTACTGAATTTGTGCCATTTTCTTGATTTATTTACATCATCTAGATCTTAATCCATGCTCTCCATTTCTCCAAATGCTTCCTTCATTAATTTGTTTATGATGTTTTTTACCCTACAGAAGTTTTTAACCTTAATGTACTCAAATTAATCAATATTTTGTTGTATAACTTCCCTTTTAAGGCTTATTTAAGAATTTCCTTTTTCAAGGCAATAAACATATTCTTTTATTTTCTTCTAGTAGGATCAAATTTTTATTTTTGTACTTACATCCTTAATTCATTTGTCAGATTTTCTGGGTGAACGATTTGAAGTACAACAAAAACAACAACAAAAAATACATTCTGTTTTTTCTAAATGAACAACTGTCCCCAAAACATTTTTTGAACTGAATAATTTTCTCTATAATGTTGCCATTTGCAGACATGTCTTCATGTTCTCACCTACGATTCCTTCTTCATTATATTCTAGTCAGTGTTCCATTCTCACCAAGCCGCTGAGACTGCCCATGTCAAGGGCCACGGCGACCTCCATGTTGCCAAAGCCAATGGTCACTTCTTCATCCTAACTTTTCTTGGCCTTTGGCATGCCCCCCGCCATGCACCACTCTCTTCTTCAAGCACTTCCTGTCCTTGGCTTCGAAGACCCCATACTCTCTCGGCTTACACTCCACTGTCACTGGCAACCTCTTTTTAGTTTTCCATAGTTGGCTCTCATTCTTTGCCTTCACTTTAAAACTCTAGAATGTGCCAGGACTCACTTCAGAGCCCGTTCTACTTCTCTGTTCACACTCTCCCTTTACATAATCTCATCTGGTTCCAGTCTTTATATAGTATCCACATGCCATTGACTATCTGATCTACATGCTTGTCCTCGACCTCTCTCAGAACTCTAGAGTCCTTTCGTTTTCTTTCTGTCTGGCATCTCTACATGGAGGCTTCATAGGTATCTGAAACTCTACATGTCTAAATCAGAACTGTTGATTCCCTTCCCCGTAAAGCCTGCTTTGCAACCAGGCTTTCTAGTCAGCCACGTTCATCAAACCAAAAATCTAAGATGTATTCTCAATTCCTCACTTTAGCATTCCAAATCCCGTCCACCACCCACAGTCCTCTTGACTCTACCTCAGAAATAGAATTTTCTTCTCTTCATCCAGCAATTCTCTCATGGGGTGGTGGGGGGACTTTTGTACCAATCCTGCACCAACTCTGCTGACACACTGTTCTTTGGCTCTTAGCCTGGCTAAAGCCAAAAAATCACAACTACCTCAGCTTGAACATTATCTCTGGAGAGAAGCCTTTCCTGACTATCAAACAAAATGCTCAGGTTTCCTTATGTAGGTGCTCCATTAAAATAGGGTTATCTGCATAGTATTAATAATATGTTCTTGCTTATTTTTCATTGATCTCTTTCATCTGTAACTTCCTAGTAGAATGTTAAGTTTCATAAGAGCACTGACATAGTTTCACCCTGAGTCTCAGTCCTTTCAGATGGCTATAACTGAATACCATAGCCTGGGTGACTTACAAAGGGCAGAAATTTATGTCTCACAGTTCTGGAGGCCAGAAAGTTTAAGGCCAAGACACTGGAAGATTTAGTGTCAGATGAGGGCCTGCTGCCTGGTGCTTAGATGAGATGGTCACCTTCTCACTGTGTCCTTACATGGCAGAGAGGGAAGGGAGCTCTCCCGGGTCTTTTTTATAAGGACACTAATCCCCTTCATAAGGGCTCCACCCTCATGACCTAATCCCTTCCCAAAAGCCCCACCTCCTAATATCATCACATTGGCAGCTAGGATTTCAACACAGGAATTTTGGGGGAATACATTCAGTCTATAGCATCCTGTAATAAAGTACCCAGCACACAAGTGCTCAATAGATATTTGGGCTTATTTTTTGAAACTTTAATCAATTCCATTGTTAGATTTATTTTTTCACAAACAGCACGTTTTTATTACAATAGCTTTAGTAGATATTTTAATATCTAATAAAGAATTATTCTCTCCCCACACACATTGTTCTTTTCCAAAATTGGCTTTTCTAAGGTTGTGAATTATTTATTTTACATGAATTGCAAACTCAGATTATGATGTTTCATGTTAAATTCTGTTGGAATTTTGATTGGTATTATTTTAATTTATAGCTTACTGTAAGGAAAATTGACGTCTACACAGTAGTGAAGCTTCACGTTAAAAACATGATGTATTTCCCCGTTTATTTAAATACTTTTTGTCCTTTGATTTAGTTTTACAGTTTCCTTTTTATCATTTTTGAAGTTATTTACAGGTAATTAATAGACTTTTAAAAATTGTTGGAATGTATGTTTTTCTGTTATACTCGTTAACTTCCAATGTATAGGATGGCTCTTGTATCCAGACCCTATTGAAGTCACTTATTTGATCTAATAATTTGTAGTTGGTTTTTTGATTTGCTAAAGGAGATGATCACATAATTTCACAGAATGCTTCTTCCAAATTTTTAGATGTCATATTTCATTGGCTGAGACCTCCAGAAAAATGCTCAGTAGCAATATTAATGTGGGCATCCCTGTCTTGCTCCATGCATTCAAAGAACCATCATTAAGTATGATGTTTTCTCTAAGTCTCTGCTATAAACCTTTTATGAAGTCAAAAAGGTTCCCTTTGTGTTCTTTCTATAATTTGAAAAATAGCTTTTCAAATAATATTTTTAAGAAATTGGCTTTACAATAAAGAAAAACTGAAAAATGATCATAGGTTTTGAGAAAACTCTGCAATGTTTTAATAACAACAATTCCTAATTGCTGAACTTCCTTTATGAGGCAGAATATTTAAATTTTTGATATTTTATTCCTAACCATCAAAGCACTACTACAAAGTGGGATATTTTTCACCATTTTAAAAATGAGAACATCTTGGCTCAGACACTCAAGTAATTTATCATAGTTCACAAAATCTAATCAGCAATTAAGCAGGGAATTATAGCCACTGTATCTAGCTCAAAGCTTACACTCCTCCCACCATATTCCATTTTAATTCCGTGAGCTATTACGCCAAGCCTTTCAACGTGCCCTGGTGGAAAAGATAACAAATGTGCCCTGGGTTTATGGGCTAATTCATAACCATACCCAAAGAATGTCTATTCTGATGTCAATTATGAAAAAGATTTCAAAGTAAAAAGTCATAGAGACCTGTTTTAGTCATTAACAGCTGTACCTTTTAAAATGAATGGCTTACATCAAGGCCAAGAAGGCAAAGGCACAGATTACGAAGTTGAGCAGGTAAATTAATACAATGGATTATAGAACAGAGATTTTTAAAAATCTAAAGAGCTGAAACATTGGACCAAAACTAGCAAGAAAAAATCAAATGGTTAGAAGTAAAAGATTGACTCTTAGGTTCAAAAATATTAAATGCACACAAATAAGATGTGTATAACCATAGTCCCTGTGAAAAAGATCTAGCAGTTTAAACCAAAAGCTAACGTTGTATAACATGGTTGCCAAGTATATTCAATACAATTTCATTACATTTGAATATCATTGTTATTGATTATATCAAGAGGTTAATAGTACCACTGTCCATATCTGAATATACGCATTTAGTTATAGTCATTATATTTTAATTGGCATAACCCAGTGAGGATGCAAGTCATTAGAAGATATCTATTTGATCAAGCCCAGGATGGAGAAAATTTCAGAGGGAGTCCACAAAACAATACACTTCTCGTGGGCTCGACCTCATCACAACTGGAATATCCACCATTAAAAAATCATCCTCACATCTTTTGTGTAATCTGAGTTCCTATTTGTACTCACCGCTACTCCTGTCTTATAGAGGAGGTAATGCACAGTCTGCGTGACGTCGGCGGCATGCATTAAATTATGGTAAGGATTTTTATGTTTGCTGTAGCCCACTTCCAGGGCCTCCACAAATGAGACAAGTGCAGAAATAGGGATCTGAAAGAGAGCAGTGAGGTTAAGTAACTTGTGACTCAGCCGCCGTAGGTGAACAAGCAAAAATCTAAGGCACCAACTCTGCTCCTTCCTGGAGGCATAACAAATCACGTGAGGAAATTAGAACTTTTCATAGTTAATAAAAATCACTAAAGAAATTATCAGATAATTTGAAAATCTAGCAGGAAGTCCCTGGTTGAGGAACGATCGATCTGCCTTGCAAATTGTTCTTTGTTCCTCAGTTCAGAACCCTTGGGAAACAACACACAATCATCTCAAAAGCATTTAGTTTTATCCACATGTAAAGAAATGATTTGATGCATATGCAGAAAACTAAGTTACTGGTGACCATGCTAATTTTTTGTACTTCCTTGTCCTCATCTACCCTTAAATATCCTTCCCCTCAACCCCAAGGGAAAAGAGATGCTACACAGGCCACCAAATAATGTTGCAAACAACATTGAGGAACACAGAAATAATACTAATAATTAGTACCAATTTGTGGACTCATTTACCATTTATAATATAATATAAGTGGAATGAGTCCTTCCAAATTGTTAGTCACAAATAATACATTGCCAAGTAATAAACATAAGAACATAGCCAGATATAACAGACTATCACATTTTAGTTTGGGTTTTGGGTTTTGGGTTTTGGTTTTAGTGTTTTTGTTTCATGTGTCCAATACATACAACCACACCTTTGAAAGGGCACAGTTTTTAGGAAATCAGTATTTTCTCCAATACTGGTGGAAGCTTGTGTTTGTTTTGCAATAATTTTATAACTTAAGATTTTTGTGTACTTTGTTTTCCCAGAAACAAATGAGATATACTGCATGGTATGTGCCCATTTATTTCTCAAGAAATAAGACTCAAGCCTTTGACTACCAGTAACCCAGAATAATATTTCCAATTAGCCTAATTGTTTTTCCATCTGAAATATGTATAATATGCATGCCTTCCTTTTCTATGTAGCAGAAAGTGAAGAACAGTTGCAAAATATTAATACAAGTACAAAATAAGGGCATCCTGGCAACAATCATTGTATTAGTTTTCTGGATCAATTCCATGGTTCAGGGTAAATTATGCAGTATAAGGCTGGGGGAAAAGGAGAGGATGTGTGTTCCTAGAGATTAATAATCATATTAGTAAGGAAAAAAATCAAGAAAAATGCTACTATAATGCTTCTGGAATTCCATAACCTATTCTTCCTTGGGCATATTCTTCCACGCTTACCATTTGTGGATTTTTGTAAATTTTAAATATGGCCTTTAAGAGGTCAGATATGAATTCATTATCATTTTAAAAATAAAGATCCAATAAACTTGGGTTCCCTGGGCTGTTCTTTGGAAAACCATGAGCCACTGAAATGGCCGTGTGTGTAGGTGCACAGGAACTTTGTTCTGAGGAAAGGGTCTCCAGCACCCACCGGATTTTCATGCTGGTTTCTGATGCAAAACAAGTTAAGGACCTAAGGACCACTGCCATAAAGTATTTGTGGAATGTAAGAAATACACCCCCAAATACACAGTCCTTAGGAAAGCGATAAAGAACTCTATGTCTGGAGAAATCAATACGTTGTACAGAAAAAGACCTGCCTTTTCCAGAGGCTTATTCGTGTGATGAGAGAAGTCTGATGCCATAGATGCCGGCAGATGAATATGTAGGTTCCCTTGAGAATCAGCCCAACCTCGAGAGTCTGCAGTATTAGAAGGCTGAGGCGGTTGAACACTGCGAAAGGATTCATGCTCTTTATTTAAAGTTGAAGAATTAATTTGAAGCATGAATGGCTGGGAAATACCAGTGATCTGTCACAGATGATAAGTGAGAATATTTGTCTGAAGGAGCCAAGTGGTGGAGGAAAAAGTTCACAGAGACAGCAGACGCTCACTCTGTCTCCATCACTGTCTCTCTCACAGTGGTGGTCGATAGTAGACAAAGTCATGTCGAAATGAGATCTGCGGGCAGAGCCCGAGGGGGTGCTCAGCTGTTTCAAGCTTCAGGTTGTACTTCCAGGAAGACTGGGATCTAAACGGGCTTCTCTAGCCACTCCCCTGCCGGTGAGACCCACGAGCAAGGGTGTAATCAACAGTACCCACCGCAGAGGAATTCGCAGCAGTGGCTACCCCAACCGTGCTTCCTGAGCCACCCAGAGCAGTCTTCATTCTGCATTAAAAGGGTCTTAGCCCGAAAGTCATATGAGGATGGACAAATGCGTGCAGTTCATTTATTTATCTTTTTAATGAGGTACTGACCTTGAAACGGCTGATCAGATCATAACGTGTGAGTAATTCATAGAAAATGAACTTCAGGGCATGATCCCCACTCGCCTCATTGAGGGAAAAGACATCAAACGACCACTTGTCCACATCCTGCAGGACAGGGCGTGAGAAAGAACACATTAGCCCACAGTGACTTACACACCCACCAATCTCCCCATTTTCTGGTCTGCCTACAGCCCTCACTCAAGGTTTCACAGACCAAGACTCTAACACCCTTTTCACTCTCAAACTTCTTCCAATCTGGCAGTCCTACTTAGTATTTATTGTTAAAACATTAAATAGTCTTATTACCAATAATGATAGTCATAGTTTATTGAGTGCCTACTATATGATAGGCATTATGATTGGTGATAAATATGTAACTTATCCCAAAAACAACTCTAAGTGATAGGTATTATTAGTCACATTTTACAGATGAGAAAACCAGTAAGTTACCTGATTTCCCTAAGACCTGTCAGGAGTAAGTGCTAGGGACACAGGTGGGGCCAGAACACAAACACAGGTTGGATGCCTAACGTCAGGCTCTTTCCATGAAGTCCTACAGCTGCTTAATACAATGGCCTAAGGCACGTCCCTCCTCAACTTTCTCTCCTACCCTTTGACACTATCCAATGACTTCCTCTAAGTCTGCTGTTGAAAATGTTAACTCATTTAAAAGTGTTCGGGAACACGCACAATATAGAATACAAAATAGTGTCTCAGGTCAATCTAAACTCTGGGCTGAAACCAAAGAGAAAGCATTGATTTCACAGGATAGAAAAATGCTACCATTTCTGGAGTCACCAATCCGGGATCTTGTCCTCAATTTGTAAGTCATTTTACTGAAAAAAGGAAAAGGAAAAATCTAAACGGAACACATACCTGTACACTATCCATGAAATTCAGTCTTCTTTGTACATAAACAGAATGTAAGCATATTACATTCCTTTGTAACATATTACATATTACATGCCTTTGACTTATGATAACCAACTACTTGTGGATATAGTAAACAAAGGTGTGTTTAAGCAATAGCTAAAGCAATAGTCATCTGGTTTCTCATTGCATCAAAAGTCTCACTTCCTGTAGTTAAGTAAAGTGTATTGACTTGAGCTTGACAATAAGGACCCAAGTGAGACCACACTGAGGACAGACAAGGTGTCAGATCGACCCTGGTGGAGACCTTGCCTTTCATGAGTGACTCTCACTCCAGCCCTCAGCATCCTAACATCCATCCATCCGAATCTTGTCCCTCTCCAAACCTTTCAACCACCAAATTCATCCCAAGGCCATCAAGGGTCTTGCTCTTAGATACCAGAGGAACAGTTGTCAGGCAAAACTGAATTGTATTTAGGGAAAACCAAACTTTTCCAAAAGGGTTTCAATTGAATTATTTCAACTCACACTTAGTGGTAACCTCACTTCAGTCCTCAATAATTGCCCCTCCGTTAAAAGAACTAAAGAAATAGCTACAAGTACTGAGCACATTTTCTGTGCTGGGCACAGTGTGAAATGTTTATGCACATTCTCAAAACCTCACAACTCTAGAAATAGATGATGTTACTTTCTCCAGTTTTAGAGATGACAACCTCTCAGAAATTAAATTAAGTGTAGCAGAGCCAGGTAATCACCCCACTGATCTCGCTGCCAACAGATAAACTCAAGGAATACGTCCTGCGACCCAGGCCTCACTCCTTAGGGCCCAGGCCACAGACAGCAAGGCCCTTTCAGATTAACCCCAAGACCTAAAGCTTTAACTTGGTTAGTATAATTAACCCTGCCATGAGTCACATATACTCTATGGTCTTCAGTACTAAGGAAAAGGCCACTGACAACTTGGTAGGTTGGAAAATATGTCACATATGACAATGTTTAATCCTAGTCTCCAGAATGAATAAAATAGGGATAGGTTCTCTACCATTGAAAATAAAGATATTATCGTAGCAAAAAGATTTATTCTAAATATCAGGACAGAAGGATGAGTAAATAGAGATAGTGAGATGAATGCCTTTTTTGGCCCCTCATTTTAGGGAAAGATTAATTGTGATTCTCAAATTTTAATGTTCTTCAGAACCACTTGAAGGGCTCAGTAAAAATACTGATTCTTGGGTGGGGGACTCCAAAGAATCCTGGTGTGGGGCTGGAATCTGCATTTTAACAAGCACCCAGTTTAAATGCCTTAAACCTTTTACAAAATTTTGCCCAAGGACAATTCCCATGGAGAAACTGCATGAACTTCCTGTTAGTCTAACAAAAAGGAAGCCTGAACCTCCTTGCGCTTTAAACCTGGAGTCTATCCAAGGTATTGCTTCCTGAGTCACGGGACAGACACCTTATAAAGAAGGGCACATGGCTACGTTTCCAGTAGGCTCATCTCAGAAGACAAGAGATAAACACCTCAAATGAGAAGCTTTTGTATGTGTGTGTGTGTGTGTGTGTGTGTGTGTGTGTATATATATATATATATATATTAAAAAAACAGAAAAAATGAAAAGAACATAATGCAACATATTTCAAATTTAGAGATCTGTGGTGGTTAATTATTCCTTTACTTAAATGTTGCTTTATGCCATGCTCTTACATTAACCACAAAGGTTAACATGACAGTAGCATAATGGTTATTTTAGTGAATTGTATTCTCTCAGTCTATGGGGAAAATTTCTGTAATAGAAAAAAACAGTGATTCCATATGAACTGCTGGAAATGAAGTGGAAATAATTTTTTTTCTAACGGGCACTACATAAAGAGAGAAAAAAGAATCCAACTCTAATGATCTAACTCACTGCAAATAAAACCAGAGTCTGGGGAAGTGAAAAAATATTACATCGTAAAAAGCTTTGAACTTCCCTAGTAAACAAGTGACGAGGCCCAGAGAAACAGCAGTTTTAGCCTTAATGCACATATCAGCAATGCATGCAGAGAAAGATAGCAATTTAGAGAGTTAGTACTTATTCCTTGTCTGAATAATCTAAGTACCTTTCCCCTCCTAAATACATGTGTGCATCTGAGGATTTCTTTTCCCTAAGTATAAAATAAATTCATGCACATCACAGGTTGTTTCACATTTTTCCAGTTATTCTGGAAAAAAAAAAAGCGGCTTCCATTTGGAAGAAACATTTTCATAAATGTCTTGCTACCAGTATACCCACTTGTATTTATGCTCATGATAAAGGAAGAAATTAAGGACAAAAGAGGCTTTTAATGTTTCTAAGACTCCCATTGAACATTTCCGGTTCAGTTATAAAAATCAATGCAACTTCATAGTGGGTGCTACGAAACATCAGATCCTCGGAAGTGATTTCACTGATCAAAATGGGAAATATCCCTGTAGATTACACTGATGTGAGCCCCACAGCAGTGTGGGGATTAAAGAGGAGCAAGAGGAACACATATCTTCCTGTCATGTCTTTCCTGAGTATCCTTCCTGCTGCTAAGATGAATTTTCTTAAAAGACATAAAAAGTGGAGACAGAAAAAGCAGAAGTGAGAATCTGTACATATCTGGTTGCTCAAATTAAGCTAGTGAATGTCTCTGAGACAAGAGAAAGGACAATGAATATATAATCAAGATGGTCCCAAGGGGCTCTTTCCTGACATTAAATTAATCAAGAAGTACTCCCACCCCCTAGTTCTATGAATAGGTCATTTATCTCCTGAAAATATCATCAGATAATACAGTTTTCATGTTTCAGAGAAAAACTGCAAGGGCCTTAGCAAAGGTCGAAATGCTACAATGTCCCTGGGCAAATGGATCAACTCTATGTGTAGACACCATGCAATGTCAACCAGCCCAGTGATCCTGGGCCCCAGCTAAGCTCCACGTTGGAATCCAGAAGCCAAATAAGATTAAGCACATCTCAAATACCCTCAGACTAGTGGATCTGAATCAACACCTGCCTATAGGAACGGATCCACTTTGGGGCTTTTAAAGATACTCTATACAATTCCAAGAGCTTGCCCTATTGGGAGTAATTCTGCAGGATTCAGCTCATTTAAACTGAAACATCTGCATGACTTCCCATGGAACCTTTGGCTCAGTGAGAGTCTTGGGAAAATAGTCAGATATACATTGTACAGAGGAAACAAGGGATCTGGGGCTATACCCTCATGTAATAAAATGTTAACTGAGAGCTTACTATGTTCTGGAAACTCTGGTACCAGAACTTAGTTCTGTCTTTAAATAAATAACTCTGCCTTTGTTTAATCTCACTGAGTCTTATTTTCTTCATCTATAAAATGGACTTGCAGTAAGTAATCAGATAATGGCATAATTATAATCACTAAAGATCCTCCTAACATTGAATACTTATAGCCATAACATATTTGATCTCCTATGGCCAAAGTCAGATGAATCTCCTAATGCCAGATCACTGTATAAAACCTAAACTACTTTAGGGAAATAGAAATGAAATGAAAGACACACAGAGTTTGATTTTTAAAAAATTAGGAATGTGAAGGCTGAAAAAATAGTGATACTACTAGTATAGATAAGAAAAAGAAAATGAAAGAATAAAGTCAGGAATAAATGGAAGAGAACTGTAAATGAAAGCTTCTTATTTTCTAACAACAAATTTAACTGTACTTTTTGCAAGGTATCATGTACATTATAAAACCTTTTCATTGGTATTACCTTTAATGCTTCAATAACAGCTGGTGGGTAGCTCAGTCCAACCATGTTTGATGTCCGTCTATACATTCTGCGAAGTCAAAAGGGAAAAAATGTAATATGATATCTTACAAAGAAGGATCAGCAGTTTCCAGACTGATACTAAGTATTGACAAATAATGAGAAGTCATGTTGTCTGGTAAGTCAAGGAACCTAAAATCTTTTTTGACATTTTTCATAGTCATTCAAGTGGTCTAAGTGTTAAATTCAAAAGAGACTAAAGCAATCCCAAATATGTGAACCATTGGGGAAAAAAATAATTTTATGTGCCCCATATTGGAAATTAAATTATTAACTGGGTCACCTCTTTTGCCAGAGTGAATTATAGCACAGCGTGGACAGTGTGCAGTGTAGTAATTTAATCTGAATGAAGAACTTCTATGGGCATCCCACTTAGAAGAGTTTGTTCCTTAGAACTGTCCAAAATAAGAAGGAAAAAAATGTTCCAGGTGAACTTTGAACTCACCATGGCATTTCTAAAACATGCAATTGCACAATAAGGAGTATAGGAAGACTATATCTATTTCTGGAATCTATTTCTGGAGAAGGAGGTGGGCAATTCGATTTCAAAGAACAAAATGGCTAATAAAATTGAAGTGTCAGGGGTTAGAACTCAAACCTCTTAAATGAACTGTCCTTCCTGGATCAGCAACCTCAAAGCATCCCTGACCTGTTCCAAATGTGGACAACATCTCTATATTTCAAAGGATGATGAATTGGATGATTTCCTTCTATAAAAATTAGAGACTGAACTCAAACTAAATCTTCTCTGCTTAACAAAAATAATTCTGAGCAAAAGCAAGGCTTGTCCTAATGATGTTATAGAGATTAAAACAGGTATGTTTTTTGTCATTTCTCATTCAGGACTATCTCTTTCTACCCACAATTTTCAGTATTTATAAAAATACCAAAACTACATTGAAGTGGAGTTTCCAGTTATTGGAAACTGGATTCCTTTTGCAGCTTTGGTCATTGAATGGCAATAAATGACGTCTTTACCTCTCCACAAATATCCCAGCCTGCACTGCATGGACGATGCTCTTGAACCTGGGCTTCTCCTCGCTCCTTCGGAGCATCATCCCCATCTGCCGCGTAAAGGTGGAGGCCAGCCAGTCCCGGACCTCAGAAGGCACTGAATCTGACTGAATGTCACTGAGCTCATCCTCCGTATCCAGGAGTCGCCTGAGCATAAGAAACAGAACCAGGACAGTGAGATTAAATCTGAAGTTAGAGCTCTCTGCTCAAAGGAGCTGCTCCTCTCCACCCCACCTGCATGCAGGTGCGAAGAAACCAGATTAAATTGCTCACAAGAAATACAGCACCTTTTTGGTAAGGCTTGCGAAAGCTCACCATCTATGTTTCAGGATGGCTTTCTCCGCCAGATTGGGCAAAGGGACAAAGGGACAAAGGGATCAAGGAGGCAAATATACTCCATCTCAGGCTCCATGGGTGGCAGATCCACTGCACTCAGGAGTACCCAATATCTTTATTCCTAGAAAGTTTGTGGAGTTTGAATGGAATTTAAACCTTGCATTTAAAAATACATTCCCAAGGAACCTAAAATTATTTCACAGATGCACCATGTGGCATTATTTTGTTCAAAAAAAAATGGACACTTAAAGACTTTGCAAAGTATTACTCAAATCACAACAATCCAGTCCTCTGGAGTAATGATCTTAAGCAATGTCAATTGATATTCTTTCTAGTTTGATAGGCTGTTTCAGAACTTTAAATATCTAAATCCAAGCAAAATTTTCAAAATAATGCAGTTCTTTATGATTTAAGTCATTGGATGGCTTTTAGTCGATTTTTCAAACTTGTTCACAGGTCAGACCACTGGAAAGGAACATAAATAGTAATGCTACAATAAAACCTAAAATTGTATTTTATATTTATTTTAAGCCAAATTAAAAATAAATAGTAATAGTAGGTGTCAATGTAAAGGTGTTTGAGTTTTTTCCCCTCCATAGACACATTGATTGGAGGGAAGGGAAGAAAACACAACATTTGGAGAAAGCTGTGATATCAAATTTCCTTAAATTGGGAACCAAGCATGTCACCAAAAAAATGAACCATATAATCCTTAGATAGCAGTGAAATACTTTCAGACTGGAATTTGGCAAAGAAAAGTAAGACATACTGACAGAGAAGCCTGTCTGAATTAAGAAAAAAAAAAAAAACCAAAAATTTCATATTCAACATTTCAACATTTTTAAAAAGAAAAGCAATTTTGTTACTTTCAAATGCATTTAGTAACTGGAACTGCTTTAATACTTTTAGATAATTCAAATGGAAAAAGTCTACTAAGAAAATCGGTAACATACATAAGACTGAAAAAGAAAAACTGGGTGCTTAAGAGAATAAACACTTATTGATCACTTCAGGAACCTCCATTTACTGATGGATATTGTGAATTGAAACATAAACACAATTTTTAGACTAATGCTAACAATATGCAATAATTGCAGTGGAATTCTACATTTGATAAAAAAAAAATTTACCAGATTTTTTAAGATAACTTTTTCTTCTCTTACATTATCTCACTTCATGGACATAATGGCCATATGAAATACATCCTATTAGCTCCTTTTATTGATGAGGAGGTACAAAGAATAAATGACTTGTCCAAATCTAACCCATTTGTTTGTAGAAACTGAAGCTCCAAGACGATTAATTTGAATGGTACCCCATACCTGCCATGGGGGACAATTTCAGAAAAGCCATTTAACAGAAAATTTATCATTGCTATGCTAATCTCTCTTTTCACTTTTTAGCTTACCTGGTTTCATCAATGTACACAGATTCAAGCACTGTGGCTGCATATTCCAAATTCTTCTTAAGATCTACCACTGAAGCCTCCCCTCTCTCTAATTGTTTGACCAAAGACCGTAACCTAGGGGGAAAAAAAGGTATGATTTCATGAGAATAGAGAAATTGAAGAACAATTCTACAATTATAGTGATACATTTCATAGTCACTGAATGTTCTTATTTATTACATTTGAAAGGAAAATAATTATGGGGCCAAAGGAGCAAGTTATGAAATAAATCCATATATTTTTGCCATCGTGAAGCAAGAACAAAAATTTTCTGATCAACCAGGCACTGACCACCCTCAACACTTTCTAGCTCCCTTTTACCTTTATGAGTTCTTAAATTATCAATAATTTTGCTTTCTTTCAAATTTTTATCTTTTTGTTCTAATTGGATGTAATAAAGCAAGACCAGCAGCAACATCTCCAAACATTTCTGGAGATTCTGCTCTGTTGAAGGCACTTCGTTCTGCAGTGGCCAGAGAGAACAGCATCTCTGTGGCCCAGAGATGTTCCAAGACTGGCGAAAAGATTTCAACACCAATAGAACCATAAGAGGGCTACAGAAGGAATAGATAAAGATAAACTATTTTATTGGACAGGAAGAATCATTCTAAGGGCAGATAAATACCCTAACTAAAAAAAATATGAGGATGAATTTTAAATCAAGGAGTTCCAGACAGTACAAAAGAAACAATAAAACATATTCTTCTCCTACTTATATGAAAATTATCTGCACAGAGAAGGACTTAATTATATAAGAGAGCAATAAAATTTCTATAGATGATGAAAATGCAGTAATTGGGAACACTGTAAATATCACAGAGATTTAGAGACTGGACAACCCTTCAGGCTGTATGACATCCAGCACAGAAAAGAATAGAGACTTTGAAGACAAATGGGTTTGAATCTCACTTCATAACATATTAGCTATGCAATACCAAGGAAGTTAACTTCTCTGAGAGTTATCTTAATGGAGAGCCAAGCATCACATTTCCCAAGTTGACATAAGAATTAAATGAAATTGATATACTGTATGTGACTCATAGTTGTTTTTTAAAAAGGCAATTATTATACTTATTGTCATTCTTGTTATTCAACGATCTTGATCATCACAGGTAACCAAATAAGAAAAATTCTAGCAAGATCTCTCAAGTCTCCACTTCCAATTGATTTATGCAACCTGTTCTCGCATTCCTGACTTCAAAATATCCTCAGACTTGAATTCATAGGAGAAAATAGGTTGCCTTCTTGGCAAGGTATAACCTATTGCCCTCCTTCTTTTCATGAAAATGGCCAAGAATAAAGAATGAGAAAAAAATCCTGGATTAATCTTTAAAAGTAGGCAAGAGAGTCCTCTATACAACAATTTCCAGGAATTTCAATGATACAAAATACAAGTGAGATTAGATTAAGGGTAGTCTCTGCCTGACTTATGAATCTCTAACATGCAAAAGCAAAATATGAAAAAAAAAATCAGCAGAGGCCTTTGCACGCTTGCAGGTAAAGGTCAGCCCTGTGGGTACCATCAGCACTAGGAAGTTCTCTGGATTTCACAGGCAGCACAGGACAGGGAGTTGGCATGGAAGGGCTTGCCAGTCATTCACACACAGTGGACGGCCAGCCTGCCAAAGAATGGGGAGACAGCAGCAGCAAGCCCAACTGCTGTTCCAAATAAGGACTGGAAGCTCTTTAGCAAAACAGATTCCTGGCTGGGTCTGCCTCCAGTTCTGACTCTCATCTCAAGGGGCCCAACTATCTCCAAGGCTGTCTGGACTCTCAACTGGCAAAGTAAAATGAGAGTATATTTAAACTTTTTAAAAATTTCTCCCTTTATTTGGGGCGTGAAGATTCTCTAAGAATTGACATGAATCTCTGATAGGACCCATTTCAGTTCTTGAAACCTAAGAGTAAAGAACAAAGCTGAAAAAATGATGAGAGAAAATACAAGACGAATAGAGTAGCAATAACCTAGAAGATCCTATCTCCCTATAATAAGGCTTCCAAACAAAATAAACAGAAGCATCTTTAATCAAATGTTTTCCTATGCTAAAGTAAAACCTATATAAGTAAAGGAAAAGAAATCAAATAAAATTAGAAAAAAAATAAGTGAAAACATCCAACATATGCTATTATAATTTTTGATTTCAAAGAATAAAGAAAAATCTTGAAGATCTTTGAGAAAAATAAAATTTCGTTAAATATGAAATGTCCAATTTCAAATCAAAAGTGTAGCTTATTATATCTCAAACAAGAAGTAATACAATTAATCAAAGTATGTGCCTAAACTATCGACACAGTTTTGTCATCTCGATAGTAGATTGTTTATGCCAGCAGTGAAAAAGCCTAGAGAGCTAGTGGTGATGAAATCGTGAAATGCATTTTCCACAGCTTGTTGAGAATGGAATATTTTTCCTTGCAAGAAGAGGTCCAAAGCTGGGAAGAAGTGGTAGTCAGTTGGTGCAAGGTCTGGAGGATACCATGGACGACACACAGTTTCCAAGTCCAGCTTCTATAGTTCGAGCAGCGTTGTTTGTGTGACATGTGGTTGAGCATTGTCTTGCAAGAGGATTGGCCTGTCTCTATTGACCAATCTTGGCTGCTTAATCACAAACATCCTCATCATTTCCTCCAACTGGTTGCAGTGACATCCACTGTAATTGACTGATGAGGTTTCATGAAGCTGTAGTGGAGAATACCAGCACTGGACCACCAAACAGACATCAGTAGCTTTTTTTGATGAATATTCGGTTTTGGACTGTGTTTCAGCACTTCATCTTTATCAAACTATTGTGTCAAACGCTTGCTATCATCAGAAAGAATCCATTTTTCATCCCACATGACAATACAGTGTAGAAATGGTTGGCCTTTATGTGGCGACAGCAAAGAAAGGCAAGCTCCGAGACGATTTCTCTTCTGATGTTCATTTAATTCATGCGGAATCCATCTATCCAGCTTCTTTACCTTGCTGATTTGTTTCAAATGGTCCAATATTGTTAGAATAGTAACCTCAAACCTTCTGCTAATTCACACGTAGGTTGAGATGGATTTGTGTCCACTACAGCTTTCACCTCATCATTTTCCACCTTGGTCTCAGGTTGCCCGTCCACGTGGCTCATTTTCAAGATTAAAATCACCAGATGGAACTTCTCAAACCATCCAGGTACTATGCGTTCATTAGCTACATCCCTCCCAAATACTTCATCAATATTTCGAGCTGTCCAGGCTGCACTGGTTCCACAATGGAACTCATATTTGAAAATAGCATGAATTTTTGACTTATCCATGGTTTCGCAAAAATTGCTCTAAAAAAAACTTGAAAGATAACCATCAGCCAAAACGTGTGTTTGTTTGAAAGACTGAGGGTGTACCTTCACAAAAACAAACAAACAAACAAAAGCCAAGAAGTGTAAAAGTGAAATGTCAGAGATATCAACTGTCAAGCTTAGTACTTAAGGAAATTGGACATTTCATACTTGATAACCTAATACTTGCAAAGTAACAAAAATTCAAGCTGGCCATATGGACGTCTACCATGCCAAACCCCAGAAAACAATTTAACAACAGTATTAATTTTTGAGAATAATATTATAAAATACAAGATATTTATATCCACATCTAGTAAAGTTACCATGCATGTGTGAAGCCAACAAAGATATTCTCAGGTATCAACAAGTTCAAAATTTATCATTCATATTCTTTCCAGAAAACAAAAACAAAAAAAACCTTTAAGGCATACTCCAGGCCAGTGGTCTTCCAAGGAGGTGATTCATGATCTTCAGTTAAACGCATTGTAGACTCATGGCCTAGGTTTAACTAAGCCAAACTTTACAAAATAGACATAAAGTTTGAAAAGATTCCTGAAAGAAGTGGCAGATGAAATCAAATGCTAAGAATACAAGGACAACTAAACATGCCAATGAGCTGACTTTTCTCTTTTTTCTAAGACAAGCTCCTATTTCTAGTATAAACACCTCCTATGCCACTTTTACAAACTAAAACCTAATTATAGTCAGTCAAAAAACAATTGAAATTATTAAGAATATCATATGGACTATGGATTTATATCCACTATTGTTAACAACTGCCGGTCCTGGGAAAGCATAGTATTTAACCAATGAAGTGAGTCACAGAAACCTCCTATCATCTTGAGGATTGGGGGGCGGGGGCGGCCGGAACCAGGACCAGTGCCCTCACGGAAAGCATCATTCAGAATACCACTCGGCAGTTCAGATAAGCAGCACTGAGAACCAGCTCTGCTGGAAAGTCCCAGGCTTTGTGCCACAATTAGCAGGACATCAGCAGTTGGAAAGCTTCTCCCTGATACAGCGTCTTTGGTGCCAGGCAGATACTGGGCAGTCACGTTTTTGTATTCAGTGTGAAGCTCTGACCCCACAGAAAGCTGTAAATAGAAAGCAAGACCCTAGCCAAGTGGCTTCAACAAATCCAGAGGAGAAATGACAAAGAAATAAAGCACCTTTTGGATGCATGAGAGGTGCTAGAAATGTGCTTCTACCCCGTCTGTCTAGCTCCTGAGATGAGCAGTAGATTGACCGACACCCTGGCAGACAGTGAAGAGAACCTAGGACAACCCACCCACCGTGTTTATGGGGAAACACCCAGCTGACCTTCACCTCTCTTGATCCAAGGACAACTATACATAAAAAAGTATCTATGAAAACATTCAGCAATAAAGACAGAGGAGAAAACAACACTTAAAATGCAGAGAAAGGACTCATTTTTGAAAAAAAAAATCACTAATGGAAACAGAACTAAATTTTAGGGAGCATCTGCTGTGTGTTCAACAAAATGCAGGAAAATACAGATCTGTGAAACAAAGGTGAAAGCTGAAATCAATATAATAAAAAATGAACATATTGAGAGAGAAGAAATTAAAAAGAAACAAAACATGCAACAGAAAGACCATAAGAAGCTTTTGTTAAAAAGAGAATAAATGGTGACCAGGTTTCCATGTACCCATCTCCTGTCTGGCCTGGCACCCGTGTCAGATACCGGTTACCGCGGCTGACTTTCTGCTCTATGCAGCGGCCACACGAACCCTAGGAATCCCGGATGCCCTT